CATCAATTGTTGACTTTTTTGTTTTTGAGAGAAAGTTTTTCTGTGTAGCCCTGGGTGTCCTGGAACTCAATCTGTAGACCAGGCTGGCCTCAAACTTGGAAATCTGCCTGCCTCTGCCTCCTGAGTGCTGGGATTAAAGATGTGCTCTACAACTACCTAGCCAATTGTTGACTTTTAACTTTCATAAATCATTACAAAAATAAATTGTCCTCATATTAATATAATTTCAACATTTACATTTCAAATATAATATATGGACCACATTATATAAGATAATATATTTGACATAGGACTTATAAAAATAAAGGAGGCATAGTTCTAGCCTAGGTATCTCTCAAAGCTGGAAATTAAGAGTATTCTTTATAGAAGAATATCAGGATATTTGATGAAACACCAGGAATGAAATGGAATTAGTAGAAGCTTTAAATTGGGTTTTGAGAGGCATGGTGTTGATCTGTCTAACCCAGATACCGCATTAGAGATTCAATGACCTCTTTGGTATAAAATTAAAATATTCCTGAGAGTGGTTGTAAAGCCCTTGATGGTGATTTCTGCTCAGTGGAAGCTGTTTGCTTTGATTGATACTCTTAAGGAGCATGGCAGGCTGGGTGAGAAATTGTTCACAAATGTGAAGTAGGTATAAGACAGTTATAGAAATGACAAAATCAGACTATGTTTGCATAATTGACTGCTTAGTCCAGATCAAAGGGATCTCTACAGCAACAGTCTCTGAGTCATTCTTCATCAGCTCTCAAGTTTTTGTGCACTTCAGTTTTTTCCTGTTAATGCTAATCAACAGGAGATGTTGATGTGCCTTACCAAGATTTGTGCTTTTTCATGCTAGCTCTCTTTGAATTAAACTTAGTCTTTTTGTGACTAATTATTGAGTTTAGGGTATGTTTTACTGTAGCTACCCTTTCTCTGTCCAGTCAGCCAGCTCTCAAGTAATGACATGAGACTTATTAATTATGTGAATTTGGCCTTAGCTTATGTTTGTCCCACTAGCTCTTATTACTTAAATTAACCCAGCCTCTGCCTGGGATCAAAGACGTCACCGCCACCACCCAATTTAAAGATTTATTTTTGACTGGTCTCAGAATTTGAAATTCTCAGAGAAGACACAGCCAAAGTCTTTTGGCAGTCTGTTCTGGCATTTTTCTTTGGCATTCTTCATTCTCTTGGCCAAAAGTTTAGCATCTTCTGTAGCCTCTTCTTTGTTTTCCTTAGTGCATTTTTTCTTCAGAGCAATACATTAGATTTGAGTTTCAGGACATGTGGAGTAACAAGATGATGAATCATGGGTGCCTTGGTCTTGTACTCCATACCCTTTTTGTTTAAGGACTTTCAGACAGCATATTGGAGGATATCATCTTTAGAGAGACTGAAAAGTTTTCAGATTCTTCAGGCTCTTTGGGGCTCCATCCACCAGAGCAGAGTAGTAACTGTCAGTCAAGAAATATCCTTCTCTCATTTTTTTAAAATGAGCACAACCAGGGCTCAGAGAAACCTTGTCTCAAACAACAACAAACAAACAAAAAACAAAAAAGCATTCAGATTGGCATCCATCAATAGACTTGTGCTTCTTCCTTTCAATTCTCCTTGGTCTTTTACAAAAGTGCCCCTGACTCAACAATAGGCACACTCTGCTGTGGGTCAAGAAACCCTATTTCCTGGGAACTGTGTTTTTTTCCATTGATTTGGACTCCACAACCCTTTCTTCACCCAGAACATCAACAACTACTTCTGTGGCCATTCACTGTTCATAGACAGTACCAAGCTTGTGTTCATCGTTGACTGCAATGAGTTTCTGATGGTCAGTGGCTGGAGAGCAGATACTGAGCTTAATCTGGACACAACTGACCCCTTAGGATGTGCCACCAAAAAAAAACCAAAAAACAAAAAAACAACAAAAAAAAAAACATGTATACTTTTAAAAAAGAAAATGATTGCTATAGTATAACTACTGGGCTAATTTATTTTCTTTTTCCTTATTAAAATAATGATGTATGAAATCCATGAAAATACATTATTTTTGTGTAGATTCCTTTAGAGCACGTTCCTGCGTGTGGGATTGAGCATACTGAACATTTTGATAACTACTGCCAAACTGTCTTCCTAGAAAGACTGCAGATTCACATAGATATCGACAGGGAATAAGAGTGTTGATTTGCCCTTATTGCCAAAATGATATCACTATTTTAAAATTGCTTCCAATCTGATGTTGAAATTTCATTTTATATTTTAGATCTTGAATTCATTTGAGATATTGAGCCTCCTTTCAATTTCTTTTTTTGGCCAGTTATTATTTTTCTATGATTTGCTTTAATTGGCTCATTTTATTAAGAAGTTAAAAATCATTTAGTGATGGCTTATAAACATTTTCTGAGATAAATTTTGCTGGGATCTGGGAATCTGAACTCAAGTGCTCTTACATGATGAGCCATTTCACCAGCCCCAAAATAAATTTTGAATATGAATTTTTTATTAAATACTGCACATATAAATTTTCCTATTGCCTGCTTCTCTGTCAACTGCACTTATGGCATCTCTTAAAGTGAGATACTTCATTTTGTAGACATGTTAACTATTTATTCATGGTCTCTGTATTTTGCAGAGTGCTTAAGAGAGACTTCTTTGTATAATCCACTCCTTTATATGCAAGTTTATTTTGAGTTGTCCTCTCTGTTGTTTTCTAATCTTGTACCAGTAGTGTGCTTCTAGTAGTTCCTTTGTGTATCAGGTCTTTGAAATCTGACAGGACAAAAACACCATCTTTCATTAATTTCTGCACAGCTGCCCTTGCTGTTGTTATTTATGGTTTCTCCTTTTTAGCCTCAGATATCACTCCCCGTGTTGCTGTAACCCTACTGTATTCTGTTAAGATTTGTGACATTTGCATTATGTGTGAATAGAGATAACAGACTGCTAGTGGTTTAGATGAAATAGTCTTTGAAATAAGAAAGTAGATTGTTCACAGTTAATTCATAGATGGATGTTTTTGTTTCCAAGTCTTTGGCAATATTTGATGTTGATGTTCTTGAATATGTAGCTTCTATATAAACCTTAATGTTTTATTTTATTATTTAAATTATTAAAATAATTTAATTATTTTAAAGAATAGAAGCCATATTTAAACTAAATTGTTGGACTTTGCTACTTTGTCTTATTATTGTTAATAGGGAAGCAAAGCAAATATAACCAAGCCTCTTTTTGCTTTTGGGGTTTCTTTCTTAACAATAGGGAATAAAATTAAAATGAAGAATATAGGAAATTAATTTATTGTTCTTATTTTTAATTAGCTGGAGTTAGATGCTATTCTAAGCACAGCTTCTGTTACCATGGAGTTTTCTTAACTCAGGGTCAGCTTCCTTAAAAAGTGCTGGGGCCTGCTTTATGCTTTGAAAAAAAAAATAATTCTCAGTGACCTTGAGTAATAGCTGTAGCCTTTGTTATATCTTAATTACTACTTTTACATAGAAACATAAAGTCATCCCCATATTTCTGAAGAATCAGTGCAACACTCTGCATTGTATGCTTAGACTTAAAGCATATGAAATAGAATAGTGGGTACATAAAAAATTTTACAAATAATAAATAGACAATATTAATTTTTTTTTTTTGGTTTTTCGAGACAGGGTTTCTCTATGGCTTTGGAGCCTGTCCTAGAACTAGCTCTGTAGACCAGGCTGGTCTCGAACTCACAGAGATCCGCCTGCCTCTGCCTCCCGAGTGCTGGGATTAAAGGCGTGCGCCACCATCGCCCGGCGAGACAATATTAATTTTTTGCAGTTATGTTGTTCAAATTAAATGAATAGGTTTGATAACCTTTTTTAAAAGTTATTTAATTATACTTATTTATTTGTGGGGGGCACATTTGCTATCCTGTAGACAACTTGAAGGAGTCTGTTCTCTCTTTCTACTGTTTGTACTGCAGGAATTATCAGGCTTGATGGCCAGCACCTCCACTCGCTGAGCCAGCTCACTGTTCAGATTTGACAAGCTTTTAAAGACTATTTAAGCCGTTTGTCTCTCTTTAAAGTATTTCTAGTGCTATGAATTTGTGTGTGTATTATATTTCTTAGGGAACTGCTATTTCATTTATTCTTACACAGGTGGAATATTTAAGGGTTTCTGGGTTTGCACTTGGAGTCTAGGATCTGGGGGCTGGAAAGGAGCCTGTTTTTTTTTCTATACATCTCAAGTTAAGTTACCCTAGATCCAGAAATAGAATGTTTCTATATTTTGGTTAAGATCTGGGAAGTGTCTAGGCAAATCTCACATGGTTCTTAGAGCCCCTGGAGCTACTTTTCTTCAGCATTTCTAGTATATTTAATAGTTGATAGGTCTAGCACAATACTCACAGAGTAGATCTAGTCAGCAGAAAAACATGCCATTGGTCCAGAAAGATCTTACTAGTCATATTAACACACAAAAGTGACCAAATGGGCATTTTCAGAAGTCATCCCCCTCTGTCCTGAAGGTGCCAGTTGTTATCTACTTGTACAGGTGTCTTGTCAGTCACTACATTACCTAGCAAGCCTCTAATTTACACCCACTGGTCCACACCACCTTCCCTGTCTATACAGCTAAAATAAAAATGAGGAAATGCTAACAACATAAAACAGAATAATCTAACCTATTTTTCTAGAAACATGCTGCAGTCTCATTTCTTTTATTTCTTTGTTGTATTTTTTTCTTCTCTGAAATATTTAATTTCCCTTTTCTTACATGAATTCTACTCAGCTCAGCTGCCAGCACCTTGAAACTTGTTTGATTGTCTACAGAATTTTCTCTGTGTTCTGAAGTCTTAAAGCATTTCTCTTCTCAACATGATAACTTGTATTATACTAGTGTGTTTGGATTAGCCTCTTTCCACTGCCAGGCACTTACATACAGACATCTACTGGCTTTTTGAAGACTAAGAAAGTAGTCCTATTTTTACTCTACTTTCCCCACTTGGCCTTCTGCCTTAAATTTGAATTTTTTTTCTTGCTTTTCAGTTACAGATGAGGATACAGTTAAGAGATATTTTGCCAAGTTTGAAGAGAAGTTTTTCCAAACCTGTGAAAAGGAACTTGCCAAAATCAACACATTTTATTCAGGTGAGTAGTCACAAAGAAAAAAAGACATTCTGCAATGCCCTTCAGACATGATCAGTGTTGCTTGAGGCTGACTTCCCTTGTTTATGCTGCAGTAATGCAATTGGTACTTTATGTGGTCATTGCCTAGGTTCCCTTACAGGTTATAAGACCTTCTGTTATATCTTTTATTTTATCTTTTATAAATTTTAATCCCCATTGTCATATTATCACTTAGGTTAATTTTATGCCCTTTCATTGGCTAGAACACTCATCTTCATCTCTCTAATGCATAGTCTCACGAGTGTCATCTGCAAGATGCTGTTGGAGCTTGAAAAGAAAATATTAACTTTATATTTTTATATGCCTAGCTTGTTTAAAGTGTATGTTTTAATGTACTTAACAGAGATTAGTAAAGCAATGTCCTTATAATGGATTGCCTAGAGCATTGCCTTAAGCATCACAAATCCTGTGGAGCCTAGTTGAAAATTAGTTTTGTGAGTACAGAATCAAAACAGTGATTTAGATTCAGAGAGACTTCATCCAGACTTTGAATAAACGTTATATGTATTCCCTTGTACAATGCTGAATGTACCCCCTTTATGCTTGGAATCACCTACTAGATGTAATGGTCAATAACGGATTTCCCTCTTCTCTTGGCAAAGGTTTTGGAAATACCATAGTCTTAATACTGACATAATCATTAAAAGCAAACAATCAAAACTACTAGTATGGGTTAGTCCGAAATGACTAGTTGCATGACTTTATTAGTTTCTTTTTCGAAGGATGATTTTTTTTTCCTCCTAGCTTGTGTACAACTTTTGGAAGCATTTTATTCAGATATTTTCTCTGCAACCCTCAGATAGGTTTGATTATTCTTGTATATGGCACAGTGGGAGACTGAGAGAGGTAAGAAGCAGTATAAAGCAGATGCCAAAACCCTAAGAGGCTTGGTGTGACATTTTTAGATGCTGTTGTTTTCCAAAATCAGTACTGCTGTGTATCCTGCAAAGTGGATCTATGAACATCTGGTATCTTGTAGAGTTGGCCACTCCTGTGTATTTGCTACTGCTGATCTCTTGGTTGCTCACTGAGAATAAAGATGCTTACCTCCCAATATAAAGTTTTATCTCAACTTTCTGTATAATCCTGGTGACTTAATTGCCTTTGTGGACAGTCCATTTTTGGTTCCAATCTACTTTTTTCACATTATCTCATGGCTGTATTTGCCCAGAATTGCTCTCCTCCAGATTAGTAAATTCCATAAAATTCTAGGACCATATTTCCCAGGCTTTAAGCTTTTTATACACCTTCTCTAACATCTGGATACATACATACATACATACACATTTATTATTATTTTGTGTTTATGGGGTTTTTTGCCTGCATGCATGTCTGTGTACCGTGTGCATGTAGTACTGCAGGGACCAGAAGAGGGCATTAGATCCCCTGGGACTTGAGTTACAGATGGTCATGAGCCACCATGTGGTACTGGGGATTGAATCTTGGTCCTCGGAAAAAGCAAACGGGGCTCTTAACCACTGAGTTATTACTCTAGTCCCCTATTTATTCGTTTTGTTTATTTGTTTTGTATCTTAGAGAGCTCAAATTCCTTCACATCTTCATTTTATTCCAGTCATGTCACACCCTGTATTGATATCTTTTTATCAGTCATTTTATTCATTTTGTCCCTGTACTTTCAATTCTTTTACCCTTATTGCTTTATATTGTGCTTGCCTAGCAAACTCAGTGCTTCTTGTACCTTAGTGCCAACATTCTGGACTGATTCACATAACAATAGAGTTATAGTAAAAAAAAATCTACTTTATGATTAAATATGCAAATATACAGCTACCCACCTTGTTTTGTTTTGCTTTTTTTCTTCCCAGACAGGATTTCTCTGTGTAGCCCTGGCTGTCCTGGAACTTGCATTGTAGACCAGGCTGTCCTCGAATTCAGAGATACATATACCTGCCTCTACTGGGATTAAAGGTGTGTGCCACTACACCTGGCTAGATCTTCAGATCTTATGTGTGCTTATGCACCTATGAGTGTGAATACACAAATGTTTAAATCATTTAAGTGTTTTTAAACAAACAATATTTGTCTTCTTTTAATCTATTTTTTAAATACTTTTTCTGATTGATTTTTAAAATGTGATTCACTAAATTTTGGGGTTTTGTTTTTGTTTTAAGACAAGGTGTCACTGTGCAGTTCTGACTGGCTTAGAACTTGCTATATAGAACTCACAGGATTGGGTTGTCTCTGTCTCCCAAGTGCTGGAATTAGAATTTACCCAACCTAAATTAGTTTTGAACATTGCTTTTGATCCATATTGGATTGCAGGATTCAGTTTGAAAAGTAATATCATGGAGTAGATCAATTTTCAAAAATCATTTTGGGTTGGCTGTTATTAAATTTTTTGGATACTGTGAGATAATAACTTATCTATGTGTATTGACAGGGCCATTGGGGTACAAATTGATAGTCACTGACTGAGTTTTTGCCAGGTCAGGAAGGGGTGAGTAATATGATTGGACATGATTGGAAGACAGGAAATAGAATTTGGCACGTGTAGACAGTATCACTTTCCTCCCTAGTTAGCTGCTTTCTTCACAGCAGATTGTCTTATAAACTGCAGTCTTCAGGTACTCATGCCTGAGAGAAGCCATAAGTAACTAATGAGTTACCTTCTGGGAAGGGTTAAGAGAAGCTCTGTTTGGCCCAAACCAGCCTCTGATACCGTCCTCCTGACAGGGCTTTCCAGTGTTGGGTATAGTTGTGTGCACCACCTATTTGAGCTTATTTATTAACTCACCTTCATCTACTAAGGTAGCGCAGATTACTTAATACCTAAAAATGGTCAGTCTTTAAATGACTTATAGTCTAGATCCAAACATTTTACTACCTCCCAATTTTTTATCTTTCTAATCATACCAAAATCCCAAAAATAAATAAAATAATTAAAGTGCTAATTCTATCAACTAATTACATTTTTAATTTTTAAAGTTAAGATTTTTGTTTAATTTTTTCTTTTCTTTCTTTTTTTTTTTTTTTTTTTTGTTAGTTTTTCAAGACAGGATTTCTCTGTGTAGCCCTGGCCATTCTGGAACTACTCTGTAGACTAGGCTAGCCTCAAACTCAAAAGATTTGCCTGCTTCTGCCTCCTGAGTGCTGGGATTAAGGGTGTGTGCCAGCACCACCTGAATGATTTTGTTTAATTTTATCATTTAAAAAAACTATTTAGGGCTGAGAGATGGCTCAGAGGTTAAGAGCACTGACTGTTCTTCCAGAGGTCTTGAGTTCAATTCCCAGCAACCACATGGTGGCTCATAACCATCTGTAATGAGATCTGGTGCCCTCTTCTGGTCTGCAGGGGTGCAGGCAGATGCTGTATACACAACTAATAGATAAATTTTAAAAAGAAAAAACCCTTTATTCATAAAAAAAAAACAAAACAAAAAAAAACTATTTAACCTTCCTACGCCAACAAACACTTGCTTATAAAGTAGATTAATTCCCAGGCCTCTTACTTAGGATTGTGCTTATTAAGAGTAAGAAGTGTTTTCAGTTGAAAACCTGATACAAATTACTTTTCTTACTTTTTTCTATCTGTTTTGTTTAATTTTAAAAGAACAGTTGTTTATATTTATAGAAAAATATTTTTACAATTGAAAGACCATGGGGAAAGAAGGAACTTTTAAAAATGAGGGGCCCCAATTTCCAAGATGAACATAAATGTAAACAACCTCAATAAAATACTTGCAAACCATATTCAATAGTATATTTTAAAAAATCATATGTGATTGAGTTAGTTTTATTACAGAAATGCAAGAATTTCAACATATGCAAGTCAATAAGTGAAATATAGCATATAAATAGAATCACATGATCATTTTGATAGATGTAGAAAAATTCCTTTGATAATATTCCATATCCATCCTTTCATTATAAAAAGCCTGAATAAAGCAATCTAGTAATAGAAGGATCATACCTTGACATAATGAAGGCAGAATATGACAGGCCCTTTCATAACCCATATAATAAATAGGGACAAATTGAGAGCATTTCCTCTAAAATGAGATGTGGCATTTACTCTTGTCACTCTTATTCAGTGTAGTGCTTAGAATCTTAGCCAGACCTTTAAGGCAAGAGAAAAGAAATGGGATGCAAAGAGAAAAGGAAGAAGTCAAATTGCCCTTGTTTGCAGATGATACAGTCCTACACTGGAAAGATTTTAAAGACTCTGTGAGAAGCAATATAATCAACCTGCTAAGTGTTTGGGTAATCCCAGTGGGTAGCAGGGCCATATCTAAGGGTCAAGAATGGTCTCTACCTGGTGAAGAGCTAGCTGCCTTGCCTAGAGTGCAATTGAATACTTGCATTACCAGGTGTGCAGGTGTATACCAGGTGCTAGGGACTGTATTGATTTGCTCCAGTGAAGCTACCTTATCCAGAAGAGCAGCTGCTATGGGAGAGAACACTTGCTTAAGTTAACAATAAGATCTATATTTCCCAAGAGCCATCCAACTTTGTACAAAGTAAAGCTAATGCTATGTTAAGTGATAGTTTGCATAGGCATCACCATCCATTTGTCTTTCAACTGTCTGGTGACACCTTTAAAGTTTTATTGTGATACTAGGAAGTTATAGGAACTTAGGCTTAGCTCCCTGTACCACACTATTCTTACTTCTGGATTACAATCAGTACGGAAATCCTACTTGCAGCCTAAAGTTTATTCCAGTTACCCATTTTAGAACTAAGAAAGTTGTCATAGGATGAATCAGTAAACCAACATTCTACTGTGAGCCAAACCTGGACGAGCACTTGATGGTTTGAATGTCTACGGTTAGTGTGATTGTTAAGTTGCAGTAGTGTTGGAAGATTCTGGAAATTTGTCAGTGCGTTGTTATTGTAGACATAATTTTAAGATAGCCTTCAAGCACACAATGCCTTCTAGAAGAGAGTTTTTTCAGGAATAATTAAGGTTTCAAATCAATTGCTTTTAAGTAATGGTACTTACC